GGGATGCTTCAACATGAAGGTTCTCACCAGAAGCAAATGTCCTTGTCTTGGACTTCCCAGTTCCAGGATTGCGGGCCAATATGCTCTTGTTCATTATAAATGAAACCACAATCAGGATCAGAGTCTGTGGTTGAGGCTGAATATAAACCCTGTTTTGTGAGTTCATAGAAATCTTTGTGGTTCACGGTGTTCACACACCTGCAGGAAATAGACACCCACCAGGACTGGGAGAAGGAGGCAGTCCCTTGATGCTGCTGTACAGGTCAATTTATTGGAGGGAAGCTTTGGACTGATGAGTGTGGTTCATCCCTTAGAGTGATGCAAGGCATTCAAAGAACCCTTCTCACCAAGAAGACAGAAGGGCTTGTCTATCTGTGTCTCCACCTACTATAGTGTTCCCTCCCTGTTCTCCTGACCAATAGACCTCTAGGTCTGTGGCATGGTCAGAGGCACTTTTTGGTCACATCTTCAATTGCACAAGACAGAGCCCTTTGAAATTCCTGGTCTCTTTGTAGTTCTGTGTCTCTGGTTGAATCCTAAAGGATCCACATGGAAATACCATAATTCCCTGACCAGGGGAATCCCCTACGGAAAAAGAAACAAAGATTTGAAAGCAGTGAGACAGGGGTGCTGACGGTTCCTTGAGACTGTAGGTACCATAGGCTTCAACTCCTCCAGTGATCTCAATTTTGTCCCCCCTGTTGTTTTGAATCTGGCCCAAGTGCGTGAATCATAGCATTTAGGACACAGAGATCACTCCTTTCTTTCTCAGGTATATGGAAAAGCAAAGAAAATGCAAGAACAAGGTAAAAAATGGGATAGTAGCAAAAGGGCCTGAAGATCTGTGGTGAGTCTGATTTGTATATTTTGTGTCAGGAGAAGGGTATGATGGAAAATCTGTTAGGTGAAAATGACCTTTACCCTGCCTATGCTCTCGACTTTCATCAGGGACTCTAATGGTCTTTCTAATCAGGAAAATCCTCTGAGTCCCCTGCTGAGAGTGTGATTGGAAAAGACTCCCAGGTAACTCTAGGTTTCCTTAGGCCTCTAATGCAGTTGAACATGGATAAGGACTTGGAATTGATGTACTTGTCAATCTGCTTTTTTCCTCCCCTGAGAATATGTCCTCATGGAATAATGCCATTTTTATAATTAGAGATGACATCAATAAGTACAGACTCCTAAAATTTGGAAGGTTTCCTGGTAACTGACAGATAGGGATGAAGTTCCAAACCCTGACAGGAAACTAGCCCTTACTCTCAATCTGGGGCTGTCTCTTGAGTTGATTCTGATTAATGAGTCCTGCCCGCTCCCTGCGTCAGACCTTAGGCCTGCATCCATGAAGGGAAGTTTTCCTTTGGGCCCAAAACTCATGTGTCCCAATTGTGTCGCTTGCACAGTAATATATGGTTGTGTCCTCAGTTCTTAAACTGTGTATTTGCAAACTGCATTTGCATTTGTTCTGGTTTTCTCTGGAAATGGAGAATTTGCCCTTCGCAGGTTCTGTGTAGTATTTCTGACTTCCACCATGTCATATAATTGCCATCCACTCCAAACCCTCTTCTGAAGCCTGGAGACACAGGTCATTTCATAGGTATACTGAAGGTGAATCCAGAGACTTAAAAGAAGAATCTCAGGGAATGTCCCCCAGGATGATCCAAGCCTCCGCAGACTCTACCAGCTGCATCTCACACTGGAGACCTGCCAAACACAGATATAACCTAGTCAGATATGCCACACATATCCATTGTTTCTCTCATTCACAAACTCAATATCTTTAGTCTCCATGAATCACCTTTTAAAACAACAACAAGGAAACCCAGTGGAGCCTCGAATCCATGGTGAGTCACCTGTGTTTCATCCCGATTCTTAATTGGGAATCACCTGGGTATCCCAGGAATGGAGCTCTTTCCCAGAGTTGCATGGGCATGGTTTGGGCTGATTTTCATCAGTAGATGGAGGGTCCTGTTTTTATATCCCCTGCTATATATAGCAAGATCTGGGGTGAGATGCCTTGGGAAAAGACAATTCTCACAGCTGATGAGAGTCTCCTGGGTGAGTTTTTTGACATTGATGGCATTTGGGAAAATATGTTTTCTTATTAGTATAATTATGTGATAGGGTTTGGTAACTACAATACAACTAATTTGTTTACTTTTGGTTTTGTTGGTACATTTAAAACAATTTTAAATTCAACGGGTACATGTGCAGGTTCATTACATGAGTATATTGCATAATTATGGGTTTGGGCTACTATTGAACACATCATTTAAATGGTAAACATAGTACCCAATAAGCATATTATAAACCTTTTGTTCCCTGTTTCTCCCATTTTTTAGTTCCCAATGTCTGTTATTTTCACCATTAAGATCTCATAGTCATGGTTTTACCCCCACTTATGAGTGAAAGTATGCATCATTTGGTTATCTTTTTCTGAGTTAATTCTCTTAGGACAATGTCTTTCATTTGCATTCATGTTGTCTTTTTATGGCTGCATAGTATTCATTGGCTTATAGGCACCACATTTTCTTTATTCAATCCACCTTTAATGGGCACTTAGGTCAATCCCATGACTTTGCTATTGTTTTTAGCCCTGTGATAAACATATGAATGCAAGTAAATTTTTCATAGAATAACTCCTGTCCCTTCAGTAGGTACTCAGTAATGAGTTTGCTGGCTTGAATGGTGGTTCTATTTTTAGTTATCTGAGGAGTCTCAAAAAAATTCACACAGGAGCTAAACCCATGTACATTCTCATCCCCAGTACAAAAGAGCTCCATTTCTCCACAGCTTTGCAGACATCAGGTTTCTTCACTTATTTGTTACTTTTAAAAATGATATTCTTCGTTATTTTTTTACTTTTAAAAATAATAGCCATTCAGACCTGACCCAGCTTGATAGAAGCTCATTATGGATTTAATTTTCATTTAACTGTTGATTTGTTACATTAAGCATCCTTTCACATGTGTTTTGGTATGTTTGTATTTCCTCTATTGTGAAGTATCTGTTCATGTCCTTTGCCTACTTTTTAATGTGGCAATATCTTTATTCTCCATGAATTACCTTTTAAAACGGCAACAGGGAAAATACAGTAGCCTCCAATCCATGGTGAGTTGCCTGTGTTTCATCCTGATCCTCAATCGGGAATCACATTTTTATTATTTCTTTACTTTCTCCATGTTGAATTAATTTTCCTGCATATTCTTTTTATTAGTTCATTTTCAGAGCCATAGTTTTCAAATTTACTTTTACCTATTTGGTAGGTTCTCTATTTACTAGGAGGAGGGTATAATAACTTTATACATAAGGTCTCTAATAGGAGGTCAGCACTGGTGGATATTCCCTTCTCTGATATTAGTGCCATTACCCTTCCTGGGAACCAGAGATGACTTTTGTGATTCTCCCCTTTGTGTGCACAGGAACTTAGGCCCCACTCTTACAGGTCACAACGGTGATATGGAGCAGGATACTGAACCCCGCGTCCTGTGTTCTTAGTCATTCATTGACCATTTGTCTTTCCATACAAGATCTTATCCTCCAATTATGGCATGAAGAAATTCTTATTGTGGGGCACTGCAATCTGGGTATTAATTTCTTAAAGTAAATTTAATAGTTAACAATAAATCTCCATGAATGTAGATAATAGGTGAGTCATCATACGTTTTGTTAGGTGAGCAGAACAAAACTGGACCCTTTTGTTAATACACAGACAGGTGTGCTAACTTTCTGTTGGAAACTGAGTGGAAGAAGCAGGTCAAATATTCAAAATTACATGAATTAATTATTAACTACGAGGTCTCTGGGCTTTTTGTTTAAACAGAAGAGTACATCAGACAGCCTGGTGATCCACACCCAGTGTGGAGATGTGGGATTCCCCATAAACATGTGGTTGAAGTAAGTAGTGAGGGAGAAGGCACCAGGAACCCGTTAATGATAACAGACCCTTGCAATCTACCTCAAGGGAAAGTCTTGGAAAACTGTGTCCCAAGGTCATCTAAAGTTTTAAGTAGTGACCATGAAAGGACGTTATGGAAGACTACTGGAAGCTCTCCAACCACTGAATCCCAATTATAGAAGTGTTCCCTCAACCCACGCCTTATAATCACATCTGTAGGACTACTGTGTAATAAAATCAGAAAAAAACCTAAAACACTCATTCCTTTCAGATGTTATTTAAGAAGTCTCTAGAGAGACATAGTCAGCAGAAGAGACCAAAAAAGCAAATATTTATCTCAGTTTTATAGATTGTCTAGTCATCCTTACAGTCTCTTTGTTCTAAAAATGTTTGTTTTTAAATTAATGAAGCTAAAAGTATCTGTTTGTTTAAAAATTATTTCTTGTATTATCTCATTTTTATTGTATGTGAGACATACTTTATCTGAAATATATTTAAAGTTATAGATTTTGAATCTAATATTTTTCACATTATGTCAGACACTTCTTCAAAAACTTTTTAAAAATTTTAATATGAGATTTTGTGATAAAAACGTCCCTTTAAACAATGAAATACTTCTGTTAGCCAACTAGAATGGTTTAAAGAGACAACACTGAGGATGAGAATTAAGAGTGAAATTGTGAAGGAAAAATAAGTATTATGTATTGCTGGCAGGAAGGGAAAGTTCGTAAAATGGAAGGTTTTTTAACAGTTTTTTGTAGAGTTAAAATTTGATCAACCAGGTATTTTTGTCCAAATATTTACAAAATGTACTCACAATCTTATGTTCTCACTTATATCCTCAAGAGAACTTTCCTATCAGCTTTATTAACTGGATTTCTTTCCCACCCCCTGAATGAAAATCTAAAACGAAGTTGCAGGGTAAGTTTTGTAAGTAAAATTTCCCATATAATTATAGTATAGACACATTTCTATTATTTCTTTACTTCAACAGATTAACTCCATATTCTAAGAAAGGATACAACCTCACAATTCTTGTCGCTGCCTCATTCCTAGCACAGCTACCTTCTCTCTCAGGGTTTCTGTCACTCTCAGGATGTGGGTTTCACGCTGTGTCTCTCGCACAATAATATATGGCCGTGTCCTCAGGTCTCAGGCTTTTCAGCTCCATATAGACGGTGTTTGAAGATGTGTCACTAGTCACGGTGACTCTGTTTTGGAACTTCTGTGCGTAGCTTGTCTCACCATCTTCAGGGTCAATTCCTCCCACCCACTCAAGTCCTTGTCCAGGAACCTGCTGCACCCAGTTCATATAGTAGCTGGTGAAGGTGTATCCAGAAGCCTTGCAGGATACCTTCACTGAGGCCCCTGGTTTCCTCACCTCAGCCCCAGACTGAACCAACTGAACCTGGGAGTGGGCACCTGTGGAAAGGAGACACAAGTGGATGAAATTCCCCTTGACAGATCTTGGTCCTCTTTTCAATGCTAGGACTGGGGAGCCCCTTACCTGTAGCTGCTGTCACAAAGAGCAAGATCCTCCAGGTCCAGGTCATGGTGAAGAGCTGTGCTCTCAGGAACTTTTCTAGAGGTGTGATGTGTTGCTGGGGGATGCCCTCAGGCACAGATGTATCCATATTTAACTCAGAAGATTTCAGCTCATTTACATATGCATGAGGCAGTCAAATAATAGCCTAAGACCTGACTCAGCTTGAGAAAGAGAAGCTAGATGACACATGTACCATGTAGCAGTCATGTTGACATCTAAGTCCTAACCTTGCTTATGGATATGTGACCCTTGTCATTCCCTGAGTTCTATGTACACAGAGTTCCTTCACTGAAGAAAAATTCCTCTCAGAACACACTCCTCATTGGGACCTACATTTTATTAACATAGAGAACACCTGAATCATCTGGGACCATCAATATCTGTGACCCTTAGCAGGTGCCTTTACCCAATTCTGGTCCCATTAACAGAATCATAGCCCAGTGGCCACTTGAAAGGAGTGACCACTTGTCCTATGTAAATGTCTCTGAAGTTCCATGGGCAGCAATAACATCTGGGCACTCCTGAGACAGTTCCTTCAGCACATGTCTATGTGTCCTGCTCTCCCAGGCTCCTCTATGAAACAAAACAAACTTGCTTTAAAGACTAACCCTAGTGATGCATGATTGGAGTGGAGTTTCTGATTTCCTTGACAATAGGAATACTATGTAGTTTTGCTGCAATGAAATCTCTAAAATCTTGTTAAGAAATTTATATTTTGGGTAAATATGGGTTTTAATCTCAACTGAAAATATTAGAATTTCACACAGTACTTATATACTTGCCATTCATATCTATAGATTTTCATCTTCATATGTTGACTTCAGATCCACTTGTTCTATGCACTTGCCGCATTCTGTTATCCACCAGCGCCCTGTCACATACCCAACTCAGGCAAGGTTACATAGCCCTGGAATTTGAATGTATTATTACTGGGAACAGATTGTAAACAAAAATTTTGCACCCACTAATTGGATAAGGTCACTCCCCTTATCCTTTATGTACTCATTATGAAGATATCGACACTCCTGGAAACTTCTCTTTAAATAGAGTACTTACTGCCTTCTAGAGGCGTGTATACATTCCCAGTAGAACACACTATTTAAAGCTACATAAACAACTTGTCGAACTCTTATTTAGATTGCTGTGTTGAAAAAGAAAGAGCCAGGCACTTAGGGGCAGCCCCTCTCCAGCCTCAGGTGCACCTGCTACAGGACTGGAGCCAATATGGGTGGATCATGAGCACCCCCTGCAGCTCTTTCACAACCCTGCAGGGAGAATCCCTCGGGCTCACAGAATATGTTTCTCTCAGTGTCACTAGGACAGTATGAAGTGGCTGAGCCCTGGTTCAGAATGTTCCTTCAGTGACATCCTCACATCATCTCCTGAAATGGAAAATTGGCTTTACTAAAGCTATTGAACTCTGCTGGATGAAAAAAAAGGAATTATTTAAAATGACCACTGATTCCCTTCCCTGGAGCTCCAGATGCTGTGAATCATTGTAATCGTGGTGAACTATCAGGGGTTATAGGGTATCCTGTTATTTCTGTAGGCTCTTCCAGTTGAATATTGCTTCTGCAAATACCTGCAGTGGCAGATGCTTATATATCAAAGCCCATTCCAGGTCTAGCATCCCAGTCACATAAGCACACACACACACACACACACACACACACACACACACACACACACACACACACTCTTGCTGATTTTGACTGAGTTGATGGGAAGTACACAAGAAATCTACTCTAGGCCTGATTGTGTGACATTCTTTGACAAGTAGATCTAAAGAAAACAAGGCACAAAGTGAGACTTTGGAAGCACATGCTTGTTGAGCTCACCTGGGAAACCTGCAGACGTTTGGGAGAAATAAATATGCAGTAAATGAGGGAGGATGTTGACCTTGATCAAAAGCTTGTTGATGTCAGAGGCTTCAAATTGCTCTAGTGACTTGGACATTTTATTTCTCATTTCCCTTGTATTTTCCCAAGTTCTCCTCCTAAGACAGAGTTTGTACATCCCCACAAATTTACTTTCATCTAGATTAATTACACTGGTAATTTGGTAGTTGTGGGGCATGTGAACATTCCATAGTATCACAATTGAATATCAGTTATTTAGTGACTCTCTTCCTCTGGGCTGTGACCTTTACAAGGTATCTCCAGTGGTCAAGCACATTTTAGCTATTTACTATACTTTCCCCCACAAGACTCTCCAGATGATTGCATTGAATTTTAACCTATTTAGCTACTTTTATGCATTTGATAGAAAAGGAAGCCTGGATGTTGGGGGACTAAAATCAGGCCCATGCATTTCGGATTTTGTTCAGGAATTGGTTGCCAGTTCCAATTTCCTTAAAGGTTTGTCCTGCATTTTCTAAGGTTCTTATGGTTTGAGGTTTTACATTTAGGTCACTGATCAATTTAGAGTTAATTTTTGTGTATGGGGATGGATAGGGGTCTTGTTTGAATCTTCTGCATGTGGTCAGCCAGTTTTCCCAGCACCATTTAGTGAATAGGTTCTCCTCTCCCCAGTGGTAGGTGGTGGGGGCTTTGTTGAAGATGAGTTGTTGAGAAACTGAGGTTTTGCTTCTGGAATCTCAATTCTATTCCATTGGTTTATATGCCTGTTCCTGTACCAATACCAAGTTGTTTTGATTATTGTAACTTTATAATAAAGTTTGAAGACTGGTAATTTAATACCTCCTGCTTGCTTTTTTTTTTTTTTTGCTGAGGGTTGTTCTGGTTATTCTTGGTCATTTGTGTTTCCATATGAATTCCTGTATTGTTTTTTTCTAGCTCTGAGAAGAATGTTGCTGGTAATTTGATGCATATTGCGTTAAATCTGTAGATTGCCTTAGGGAAGATGGACATCTTACCATGTTGATTCTTCCAATCCATGAGCCTGGGATATTTTTCCACTTGTTTTTGTCATCTTTGATTTATTTCAGTAGTGTTTTGTAGTTTTCATTGTAAAGATCTTTCATGTCTCTGATTAGGAAGATGTTAAGGTATTTCATTTACTTTGTGGCTATTGTGAATTGGGATTGTGCTTTTAATTTGGGTTTCTGTTTGTTTATTATTGGTGTAAAGAAATACAATTTTCTTTAGCATATTTATTTTATACCCTGAGACTTTACCAAAGTCTTTTACCAGTGCAAGGAGGCTTTTGACAGATTCTCTTGGGGTTTCAAGGTACACAATCATGCAAAGAGAGATAACTTGACTATCTCTTTTTGTATCTGGAAACCCCTGATTGCCTTCTCTTCTCTGATTGCTTTAGCAAGGACTTCCAATACTATATTGAACAGGAGGGGAGAGACTGGGCATCCATGTCTTGTTCTAGTTTTAAGGGGAAATCGTTCCAATTTTTGTCTCTTTAGGAGTATGCTAGCTGTGGATTTCTCATAGATGGCTCTTACTATTTTGAGGTATATTCCATGTACACCTAGATATTCGAGGGTTTTTATCAAGAAGAGGTGTTGGATTTTATCAAAGCTTTTTCAGCATCTAATGATATAATTATGTGGTTTTGTTCTGACGTCTGTTGATGTATTTAATTACATTTATTGTCTTGCAAATGTTAAACCAGCCTTGCATCTCAGGGATGAAACATACTTGGTCATGATGGATGATTTTTGAAATTTGTTGTTGAATCTGATTTGCTAGGATCTTGTTGAGAATTTTATCATCTGTGTTCCTCAAAGATATTGACCTCTAGTTCTCTTTCTTTTTGGGGTCTTTACCTGGCTTGGGTATCAATCAAGGAACAACAATTCCTTTTCTTCTGTGTTCAATACTTTCTTAAGTGTTTCTTGTAGAGGTGGTCTGGTGGCAGCATAGGTTCTTAGGGATTGGATATCTGTGAAATATTTCAATTCTCCCTCACTGATGAAGCGTAACTTGACTGGGTAAGTTATTCTCAGTTGAAAATGTTTATCTTTTAGAACTTTGAAGATAGGGCTCCAAGTTCTCTTTGCCTGGAGGATTTCTGTAAATAAATCTGATGCTATTCTAATTGTTCTTCCCTGGTAGGTAGTCTGACCTTTTTCTCTTACTGCCTTTAGGATTTTTTCTTTTATACTCACTTTGTTTAGGCAAATTATTGTGTCTGGGAGTTGGTCTTCTCATTCGTTGTCTTGCCAGGGTTCTCTGATTATCTTGTGTTTGAATTTTTGCATCAATGATGAGATGAGGGGAGTTTTCTTGAATAATTTCATGAAATTTTTGTTCCAGTGTGGTCTCTGTCTCTCTCTCTCTGCCTCAGGAAAGCCAATTACTCTTAGGTTCGGTCTCTTGAAGTAATCATTCATCTCTTGAAGGTTTTGTTCTGTCTTTTAAAGATCCTTTTCTATGTTTTTCACCGTTTGAATTAGTACTGTATTTTGGTCTGCATGCTCTAGATTCTTTCTTCTGCTTGGTTAATCTGATTTCCCTGCTTATTAATTTGTTATTTATTTCAATCACGGTATTCTTTATTGCTGTTATTTCTGTCATCAACTCCTTTCTGTTTTCCTCTTGTCTCTCCTCAATTTTTTAAATTCTCTCTATTAATGTCTTGATGTCTGGGTTTGTTGCATGTGACCAGTCATTCTGGGGACTCTTCATTGTTTGTGTTCTGTAGTCTGTTTTCTCAGTGTCTGATCTCTGAGGGGTCTGTGTGAGACCTACATTCTTATTTTGATTTTTCTTCATTTGTGCAGATTTTTTGTCTCACTTTTTCTTTCCCTCCACTTTGCTATCTTCTTTAATTCCTTTATTCAGGGTTGGAAGGGTTGCTTTTACTTCGGTTTGTTCAATCTCCTATTCTTCCTCATGCATATTCTCTTGCTTTGTCCAATTCTGGAATTGGACAGTAGGTTAGTGGAGGTCCTTTTTGCTCTTTTGAGATTTAATTAAGGGGGGAGATGTGATTCAAAATCTATCTTTATATCCCGGTATCTGCCAACAGGTGTATGGATAATCTGAAATCCACTTCCCACTGCCTTGAAATATGCCCATGCTGTGGGGT